CGCATGTGCGTGACATAAGACCCGTGAGGGCCAGATGCAGCCCGAGGCCAGCGGTGCCCCACTCGTTCCGGTACTTAATTACATGAAGGCTAATGTTGCTATTTTGCCTCTGACTTCTATTTTGAATAGGTAATAGCCATATGATGCAACTACCAAAGGAAATACAATCAGGGTACAATTCAAAGACACAAAGCGAAATTCAGCGCAAAGTAAATCTTCCCTTCTGTGTCCCAGCCACGCATGTCTCCCCTCAGAAGTGACCACTGTGAGAACTATTTAACAGTGAAGTGCTAGAACCCGCAAAAACCACGCTGTTACCACAGTCACGGGTAAGGTGCAGGCGCGCAAAAATACCGGGATCTCTGGAGACAGTCTGATTTTAGTAACACCATCCTTCACAAATACGAATAGCCTCTGCTGCTCAAGGTCTTTTGGCTTTTACTTTGTGTGTCTTCTTCGTAACATTCAGTGACCTGTGTATGCTCTGTTGTCCACCTGCCCTGCCCCACTGAGGCCCGGGAGGATGTAAACAGATTCCCCTTGCTGCCGCCCTTGCCCGCCAGCTTCTGCCTGGAGTTCACCCAACGAGAGGCCGGGCCGAGACCCACAGAGCAGTGTCATCCACCGCCGCCCCGGCCTCTCCGAGCCAGCCGGCCTCTCCGCTCCTCCCACTGCAGCGCCTCAGGCTCACTGCACCTCAGCCTCCCGCGGCGGCCCCTCTCCAGCCTGCCTTCTTCTCGCACCTGAAGGTTTCCCTTCACCATGTGCACGGGCCTCCTCTTGGTGCTGCCGGCCGCAGCCCAGCCTCTCTGCAGGCCACTGTCCGCTCCGCGGTCTGCTTCCTCATCACTGCTCCCCTGTGACTCCTCAGGCCCCCGCCGCCCACAGGACGCAAGCTAAGAGCCTTCCTCAGCCCAACCTCTGAATGTCCGTACCCTCTCATCTACCCTGGGTCCTCACATGCAAGTCGGCCCCACATCCTCCTTTGGAATAAGATCTACGCGTCCTTCACAGTCGTTTCAGTCCCCAACACATGGAAATGCTAACATTTAGGCAGATGGAAACACCAGTTAACCTGATTTGATCAGTACACATTATATATGCGTTTTCAATTATAATACTGTATCCTACAAAGAACACAAACAATATATATCAATTAAAAGCAAAATAGGAAGCTGGGCGTGGTGGCGCACACCTGTAATCCCAGCACTCAGGAGACTGAGGCACAAGAATTGTGAGTTCGAGACCAGCGTGGGCTACAAACTGAGCTCAAGGCCAGCCTGAACTACATAGTGAGACCCTGTCTCAAAAAAACCACACAAAAAATACTGGGGCGCATGCTTGTAACCCAGCACTCAGAAGGCTGAGGCAGGAGGATTGCAGTGAGTTAGAGGCCAATCTGGGCTACACAGTGAGTTCAAGGCCAGGCTGAATTACATAGAAGACTCTCGGGGAAAAAAAGGCGAGGAAGTGATATACATATTCCCTAACCATGAATGTCCAATCTTTTGGCCTGGCTGGGCCACAGTGAGTGAAAAGGCATATTCTTAGATCACATGTAAGCAACAAAACTTTTCTGAGACAAAGTCTTGGTATGTAGTTCAGGCTGGCCTTGAACTTACGATCCTCCTGTGTTGGGAGCTGCCTTAGCCGCTCCCCTAAGATGGCGCCTGTTTCCTGCCTCCGGAGTCTTGATGCCGCGTAAACAACCTTGTAAAACGTGTGTCTGCCTGGATACTGATGATTCTGACCTATCAGCTTGTAACCCTTGCTTTGCATTGATTGGCTACTCAGACCT